TTTCTTGCGGATATCGATTTTGATGATAGCTTCAGCTCAGAAATGGGAAGAAACCAAGCAGTCCATCAAATATGTGACAAAATCGCCTCGGATTCTGATGACATAACAAATGGGAAAGCCGCAAATCAGTCCTCGGATATGTCATTGTCATGTGCACTGAAAGAGGAAGGTTCTTCTGTAGCTGCTGTCGCAGAGAACATTTATGGCAACATGACGTGTCTGTTGTTACCTGAACCAAATACTGTCAGATCTGAGAGAGAGGACATTCTCGAGTTGGACACCAAAAGTTCTCCGATGCATAGCGTAAGATTTACTACTGCCAGGGGAAACATCTTGAAAGTTTCAAAAAAGTGTTTTAGTAAAGCAAAAGCTTTGTTTGCCGATTTGGAGGATAATCTGACAGATCAGAAATCACAAGACAAGCAAATTGTGGATATTGATGGCAAAACGGAACAAAATTCTGACATGTGCAAGAAGGATTTGGAGGTTATCCTCAAAGACAAGCGTCATGTTGAGGAGAGAGTACAAGACTGTTCTCCCAAAATAAAGCATTCAGTCAGTTCCCCCAAACAAGTTCAAGGAGTTGGAGATAGAAATGACACAAATAACCTAAATAATCACAAAAGCTGCTCAACAATGTTCCAAAGTGATTTCAGCATGGCTAGTGGGAAAGGCATATCTCTTTCAGCAAAATGCATGCAACAGGCAGATGTTCTTTTCAAAGATTGTAACAGAGATGATATGTTTGAAAAGAGCCTAAAATCCCTGCATGAAAGCACCAAGAGTAAGAAAAGCTTTTCAGAATACAAAATCCTGCAGGTTGACACTTCTGCAGAACAGGAGCCTGGCTGCAAGAAATTTGAAAATCTAAATGCTGAACTGATAGCTCAACACTCAAAAGAACCACATATGGACAAAGTACAAATGAGTAGTAATGGCTCACTGGCTTTGAAAAATGCTAAGTCTTTTCATGGAAACCCTTTCATAACCTCAAATCCGTTTTCCACGCATTGCACATCAAAAAACATTGATTCATCTGTCACTGGTGATGAGTTTTGCACAGCTAGTGGGAAGAAGGTCTTTGTGTCGACTGATGCAATGAGAAAGGCTGAACATCTTTTGAATCGTGGCCACTTACCTGAGGATAAAAACATGGAATCTAATCAGAAAGAAAATGCATCAAGAACAGGAGTTGATGAAAGTTACAAAAAAAAAGCTACTGGATTTCAGACAGCTGGTGGAAAAGAAGTTTCAATTTCATCTGCCTCTTTAAAGAAAGCAAAAGCTTTGTTTAAAGAATGTGAACGTGAGGATGAAATGAGCAAAAATACAATTCTTACTACTGGCCCACCAATCCGAAGTGGTGGTTTTTCTGCAGCCAGTGGTAAACCTGTGGTATTGTCATCGGAGGCGTTACAGAAGGCTAAGGCGATCTTCAGTGACATCAGTTTGAGTACAGATATTTCAAATGCTTCTGACATGACAAGGAGTGAGAGGAAACACGAAGAGGATCAAGACTATGTAAACAAGAGGGATGGTGGATTCACAACTGCAGGGGGGACAAAAGTCCACGTGTCACAGAAGAATCTTTTAAAAGCCAAATGTCTTTTCAAAGAATGTGATACTGTGGTTTTAACCAAAACCATACAAGAGACAGCTGCTCTCTTCACAGACTGTGATGTGGATGGTAATAACAGAGTATTAGCAGAAGACTTGAAAGATCAAGTAAATCTTGGAGAACCTCGTGCAGATCAAAGAGCAAGGTTGAGTGTTTCTAAAGAGCCTGAACACGGATTGTCTGAGCGCACAAACAAACAAGTAAAGCCAAAAGAAGAGGCCTTACCACAGCAAAGCAATGGATTTCTGACCGCAAGTGGAAAAGGAGTCAATATTTCATCCAAAGCTCTTAAGAGAGCAAAAACCTTGTTAAACAACTGCAAAGGAGTTGAGAATCAAACAAACAATTTCCCGCCACATTCCACTGTCAGTGCTCTGTCATTTGGACATGCAGGATTTAGTTCTGCCAGTGGTAAACCTGTAAGACTTTCATCCGAGTCCCTTCAGAAGTCAAAGTCTTTTTTCAGTGGCATCGACACAGAAATCCCAGACAGGTCACAGACTATGAAAGGCGACAGGAAACAAGACCATTGTACCAAAACAGAGAGAATACAATCTAACTTTACAACTGCAAGGGGAGGGAAAGTCAGTGTGTCACAAAATCATCTTCTGAATGCAAAATCTCTTCAAGAAGTTGACGATTCAGCTTCAGAAAAAGCTACTCAGGTGGAGGATGTTTTTTACAACGAACAAACAGGCGGCACTGCGGATGGTATCAGTAATATCCCATCAGAGCATACAAGTAAAGCTCTTATTAGGGAAACTGACATTTTGAAGAAAAACTTGTCCAAATGTAAAACCAAACCAAGAAACATTCCTGAAGAGATTAGAAACGGGTGTACTGAGGACACAGGCGATCAAGTGAAACAAGAAGTAGTCATGTTGCCACAACAGAGTGGCAGATTTCAGACAGCTAGTGGAAAAGCTGTTGCTGTTTCACACAAAGCGCTAACAAGAGCACACGTCCTGTTAAGTGACAGTGAAGGAACGAAGGACAAAATACACGATTCATTGCCACTTTCAAAGATTCTTTCCACCGATACGCCAATTTGCAATAGTAGATTTTCTGCAGCCAGTGGTAAGCCTGTAGCGTTTTCTTCTGATGCTCTACAGAAGGCCAAAGCTTTCTTCAGTAACATCCCAACTATCTCAGCCACAAACAAGAGTGATGAGAAGCACAATGTTCAAAGTAATGCAGAGACATGCCACGGTGGTTTTACCACCGCAGGGGGAAGGAACGTCCATGTGTCAGAGGAAAGTCTCATGAAAGCAAAGCATCTTTTAGGAGAACTCAGTGAAGAGTGCCATCATTCACTCTTAAGCTCACAAGATACACAAGAATTAAACATTTCTAAAGAAAAAGATCTGGAAACAATTTCATGTTTTAAGGTGGCACCCTCCAGGAGCAGAGATGTCCTTGCAAAGAAGCAGGGCCCAGCTGAAGGAAGGTCTTTGAACCTTACATCAGGCACAGACTACCTAAGTGAAGAAGAAGACTCAAACATGTTTGGTTTTGATCTAAGTCTGTCACGTTACAGCAAGAGAGCTGAAGTTCTAAAATCAGATGAGTCTTCGGATCGGATCTTAACGTCTCTGAACCTTACGAGCTGCACAGAAACCCAGCACAAGTTCTTGGCTCAGGAAGCTTTGGACTGCACGAAGGCTCTGCTGGAAGATGAAGTTCTAGCTGACCAGAGTTTTTCAGATGATTCAAAACCAATCATTACAACCATAGAAGAAGAAAAGGGAAGAAGGAAAATATTAACGGGAGAACCAGATCTCATCGGTGAGCATTTGTAAGAATACCACTGCTTGTTGTTGAAAACTCATATCACAGTCTTGTTTCCTGTAAAATTATTATAGCATTTAGATTTTATTTTGAAAAAATGTTCCTCTTGTTGCTAATAATCATACTTTCTCAATTTACACGAATCAAAGCTTATCAAAAGCAATATGTAAACATTTTTGTTGCTCTATTGTAGGTCCGCCTCCTTCTAAACGAAGATTACTGGAAGAATTTGACCGATCTGTTGAAAGTCCAAAAGTTCTTCATCCTGTGAAAAGTTGCCCAGATGGTATGTTATCTGCAGTGTGACCAGAAAATAAATTTCACATATATGTAAACATTTTCCCCTTTTTATGCTCCAGGTTTAATGAAAGACAGGAGAGTTTTTAAGTATAGTGCCTCTCTTTGTCCAAACATCACAAAGCCACATGGGTAAGGTGTCCACAGCAGCTGTGTGTGTGTGTGTGTGTGTGTTTTTGAATGTAGACGTAGGTCTTTATGAGCTTCTTCCTTTGTTGTTTTTGTAGGAATACAAAAGTCTACATGGACACAAGGCTCCAAAGAACTATGCTGCCACATCGTTCAACCCCCGGAGGAGGCAGAACGTCCCATTCCAAGATGCTAGCCTTTGTTCCACCATTTATCCAAAATTCTAAGAGAGAAATTCCCAAGATGCCAGAGCTTAAAGAAAACACCAGAACACCTGCGTTTGTTCCGCCTTTCAAAAAGCTAAAACCTTCATTTCAAGACAGCTCCTCTAAAGAGGAGGAAAAACACCAGGTTTCAATTATAATGAAGTGTAACAACAACACATATACACCACCTGTTATAAAATACCCAAACACTACAAATGTTACTTGTTCAGCTGACCCTGAAAACCAAAAGGCGACTTACAAAGACGACGTTCCTGTAGACTTTGGGGGCTTAAGTCCTGCCGGAAAGGCCTTGGATATGAATAGTTCAGTTACCCAAGGTACATTGCAAGATTTAAAAAGTTAAAGTTCAATTACTCTACATAAGATTTTTAGTAAGAATAAAGTGGTTTTGGTTTATTGACAGATGAGTTTCAGAACATTGAGCTGGCTCGGGATATGCAGGACATGAGGATCAGGAAGAAGAAGCACCAAACCATTCGACCTTTGCCGGGGAGTTTGTTTCTGTCCAAGACCTCCGGAGTTACCAGGATCCCATTAAAAGTAGCAGTAAATGGAAAGAGCCCAGCAAGATGTACCCCAGAACAGGTAAGATCATAGCTGTCACTGGACATGAAACCATTTATCTTCATTTTTAGCCATGTTTCATGTATGTGTTTTATTATTTATTTATTTTTTCAGCTCTACAAATATGGAGTCCAAAAGCTCATTTCTGAAGTCACCAGTGAGACTGCAGAATCGTTTCGTTTCAGTTTGCTGCAGTTCATTAAATGGGAAACTTTTCTAGATGGAGGTGGTGTTCAGCTTGCAGATGGAGGGTGGGTGATCCCCAGAAAGGATTGGACGGCAGGGAAAGAAGAATTTTATAGGTATTACTGCAATCAAACCAATGTTGAATTAACTGGGATGTGATGGCACATTTAATTCATGGACTTTATTTCCCCAGGGCGTTATGCGACACTCCTGGTGTGGATCCTAAACTGATCAGTGAGGCGTGGGTGTATAATCACTACAGGTGGATTGTGTGGAAACAAGCCTCCATGGAAAAGTGCTTTCCTGAAACAATGGGCAGCTTCTGTCTCACTCCAGAGCAGGTTCTCCTACAACTTAAGTACAGGTACATGTGGGTGAAGCAATGTTATTACAAAACATTCATAACTGAAACTAAATATAGAAGAAGCTTGCAAACAAATGCTAAATTGAATTACATCTAAATCGAGAAAAATCTGAAGTCAAAACTAATGAAAAATGTTAAACTATTTCAATTAAAGCTCATTATAGTATATTTACAATAAGTAGTCTATTTTTAACTATATCTCTAAATGATGTTGTTTTACACGACAAATTGGGGATAAAAATAAAGATGTTACATACTAATTAAAAGAGAAATTCATAAAATGTTCAGAAAAGTTAGTGGAATGCATTTTATTTTTAAACTGTAAAATTTAACCTTTTTATTTTAAATGAGACTCCTTACTATCCCACTGGAAAATATGCAAACTCAAATTTGATTTATACAGATGCTGATTAACATATTTTTCATATCGCTTGAAAGGATCTTTACACACTTATGGCAACTAGTGAATTAAATATTTTGTCTACAAAGAATTTTAATCGTCTTTAAAATGTCCAATCCTGGAAAATCTTCATCTAGTTTTTGTGAATGTCCCGTCCTTAATGATTGGATCCTGATTCATCCATCACCCATCTCTCTGGCCATTTCTCCTCCCCTTTCCCCACTATCAGCAGGTGAAAACTTGCATAACCCATGGAAGTTTGACTTGTTTGTGGGGTTTTCCAGATTGTCTGTGGCACTGGGCTGCTGTTATTTAGAAGTTGAGAATAAACAAACAAAATAAAACTAAAAACCAGCTCATTTGTCACCATGAAAACACCCCTCTATTTTAATTAGCATACTAAATTGTTATGATTAAGCAGCGGAAAAGGCAACAACGAGCCTTAAATGTAATTTGTGTATTCTAGGGGCGTGGCTTAAGGACAGGGTCTGAGGAAAGGGGGTTGGGCTTTTGAATAAGAGTATTTTTACAAACAAAATATCTTCTATTCCTCCTAAGTGTGTGTAATAAACTTAGAATTTTGCTTTGTGCTTTAGGTACGATGTGGAGGTGGACCACAGTCGTAGGCCAGCTCTGAGGAAGATCGTGGAGAAGGATGACACGGCTGTCAAAACTCTTGTATTGTGTGTTTGTGAGATTGTTTCCAATGACCTCTCCCCAAAAAAACAGAGTCACAACAACACCAGAACACCAAAAAGTGCCGACACTAAGACAGAAACTCCGTGTGCAGTTGTTCGACTCACAGATGGTTGGTACGCCATTAAAGCCCAGCTGGATGAACCTTTGACCGCTATGCTCCACAAAGGTCTGCTGACTGTTGGTGGGAAGCTGATCATCCATGGGGCTCAGCTCGTGGGATCACAAGATGCTTGTTCTCCTCTAGAGGCACCGGATTCACTCATGATAAAGGTACATACGACTACAAGTTACTCTGGGTCTAAAAGGCAAAGGCGTAATATAGATTTTATTGTCTGTGTTTAGATTTTTGCTAATAGCAGCAGACGAGCACGATGGGATGCTAAACTGGGATTTCACAGAGATCCACGACCATTCCTGCTTCCACTTTCCAGTTTATACGGCAGTGGAGGACCAGTAGGATGTGCTGATATTGTGATACTGAGAAGCTACCCCATTCAGGTGTGCGCAGCACCGATTAGATTACAGAGGTTGCTATCATTATCTCATTTCTCCTGGATTCATATTTTATTTTTCAGTGGATGGAAAGGAAAGCAGGTGGCGTTGTTTTCCGGTCAACTCGAGCAGAAGAGAAGGAGGCGAGACGATACGACAGTCAGAAACACAAAACCATGGAGATGCTGTTTACCAAGATTCAAGCTGATTTTGAAAAAGAGGAGCAAGGTAGAAGTCTGAATTTTCACCTCTAGTTACAAACCAGAACGTGGAAAATTGATTTTAGATTATTTTAGGGAATAGAAAACCTCAGCAGAAGAGGAAGTCAATGAGCCATCAAGACATGGCGAGTCTTCAGGATGGAGAGGAGCTGTATGAAGCTTTTGGAGATGACCTGGCTTACCTGGAGGTAACGTCTGCTTTCTTTTACAGACTTGATTTATTTTCTGTCGTGAATGTTTTTGATCTTGTCTGTTAGGCTTGTTTGAGTGAGCAGCAGTTGGAGGCTCTTCATGCCTACAGGCGTTCCCTGATGGATAAAAGGCAGGCAGAGTTGCAGGACAGATACCGCCGAGCTTTAGATGCAGAGGGCGACGAAAAGGGTTGTCCCAAAAGAGACGTGACACCTGTCTGGAGGCTCAGCGTTGCTGATTCAAGAGTCCAACACAGCTCTGGTGAGTTTTCATGTTATATCTCACGTTTCACATCAACCTACTTGCCAGTTTGTGTAATTTATTGTTTTTCTTTGTTGTAGTTTATCAGTTAAACCTCTGGCGACCTTCATCAGATCTTCAGTCTTTACTGAAAGAAGGTTGTCGATACAAAGTTTACAACCTTGTTGCCTCCGATGGAAAGAAGCGAAGCGGCATAGAAACAGTTCAGCTCACCGGGACTAAGAAGACACAGTTTCAGGATCTACAGGTGTGGTGGGAAGCAGAAAATACAATCTAATTTATTTAGCTGAAGGAAAATGTCTCTAATATCTTCATCATCATCCTCACATAGGCTTCTCAGGCTTGGCTGTCTGGACATTTCCAACCAAGAGTCTCTACAAACTTTGAGACTCTCCAAAATGCAGAATTCCAGCCTCTGTGTGGAGAAGTTGACCTCACAGGGTACATCATCAATGTTATAGATGAACAAGGTTTGTGTTAATAATATAAAAGGTATTTCTCAGCTATAACTTCATTTTGTGCTGAATAATTTGTGTTTTTGTACACAGGTTCATCTCCTGCCTTTTATTTGGCCGACGGGAGACTGAACTTTGTGAAAGTGCGCTGTTTCAACAGCTTTTCCCAGGCCGGTCTGGAGGATGTGGTAAAACCAGGTGTCCTGTTGAGTCTGAGCAACCTGCAGCTCAGAGGTCAGTCCTTACACCCCGCTCCCGTTGTGTATGCCGGAGATCTAACGGTCTTCTCTACAAACCCCAAAGAAGCTCATCTCCAGGAGGCCCTCAGCCATCTGAAAACTGTGATCCAGGTATAACACCAAAGTCCCCTCAGAACTGACGTAGTTCACAAACTGCTAAATATTTCTCCTATATTAGTGTTTTACCACCAAATTCCACTACCTCCGCTCCGCTCCGACACGAACGCCGGAGCAAAATCGGTCCCGTTGTAGTCAATCAGAGCAATTCCACTACTGCGGCCGTGCTCCGGCAGTGCGGCGCCCTCTGTTCCGGCGTCCGGCAAAAATAGAATCGATCCTATTTTTGCCGGACGCCGGAGCACCTCCGCAGTAAATGGACAGAAATCACAACCGCCCAACAGGAAAAGGAGCAAGCACAACTTCCGTTTTTCACAATAAATCGATAAACAAAAGGCGTTTTTTGTTTCATATGCACAGGTTTAACAACTTTTAACAACTATCAGTGGCGGCTGAAGTTTAAATGCACAAAAGTAAGCCATAAATACAGTTCCCACTATCAAAGTAGTCACACTTTGTTGATCCAAACATTGCTGATGTCTCAACACAAATGATGGGCAGATTAAACAGTTCATTTCGATGCTTCTCCCACACAACGGGTGTTTGGATCTAACTTCCGCGTTTATTGCTCGGACTGTATCGCAAGTTCTCGAAAATCCCGCGCATGCCTGTTTGCGCACCTCAGGTCTCCGCACCGGAGCGGAGCCGTTGTAGAGCGGGTACCAGTAAAAACTGAGTTCGGAAGCGAGCGGCTGCGGAAGGCAGGGGCGGAGCGGAGGTAGTGGAATTTGGGGGTTACTCTTTATGTAGTTGAAGTGATTGGTTCACTCATTTGAGCAGAGTTGGGGTTTATTGCCAATTTTTTCCTCCCTTCTTTTCAGAGTCGAGAAAACTTTTTCCAAATAGCTGAGGAGAAGCTGTCACATTTAATCAAGACTGATGCCACGAGCTCTGTTTCCTGTCCATATTTGCAACCACAAACCCCAGTCACTGGCACACACAGAAAACAAGACCCAACGACAAACGTGAGTTATTGCTTTCTCAACACTTGTTCGTAGATTTGTTATAACCACATTAGACTAATTCAGAGCATTTTGCGTTTAGGTGACTTTTCAGAAGCCAGCCCGAAACCTCGGATCTTTTACACCCGTCAGCAGGAATCCTCCTGCTGCAACACCGTCTGAAAAAGACCCCAGATGTCTGAAGAGGAAAAGAGCTCTGGATTATCTGTCTCGTATCCCGTCGCCACCGCCTCTCTCTCATCTGGGCTCATTTGCCTCTCCATGTGTAAATAAAACTTTCAACCCTCCTCGAAGGTCTGGGACACCTCGCACTTTACAAACTGTACAGACTCCAGCACAAAAACCCACTGACTCTCTTGTGGAAGATGAATGGGTGAACGACGAGGAGCTGGCAATGATTGATACTCAGGCTCTACTTGGTGGTGATTTATCGTAGACAGTTATGACTGAATGTTGACAAACTTTTAACTGTAAATAATTTTGATGTAAAGGTTGAAAGCGGTTTATTGTGGTTTTTGTCATTTCATTGAATAAAGTGCTGAAACTACTTTTCACAACCTATCTTCAGCATTTTTGTTTTGCTATCACACAGATTTCTCAAAAAAGTCAACTACTAATCTACTGCCTTCTGGTTATTTCCCGAGTGGTAGAAGATAATAAACCTGATAAAATTAGTTAGTACCCTCCCACTGTCCAATCGGGTTACCCCTCCAGGACGGGGGATAGTTGAGCAGGATTGATGGTTTATTCAATGCAGTCCATGTGGCTAGGATGAGGTGGTGCCCACTTGTGAAAAATAATTAAAAAAAAAAAACACCTTGGGTCAATCTGACCCCATTAGGAACTCAGGCGGGTTAATGCAAAACTCGCCAATGGCAGCGTACTGTGTTGCAGAGATCCCTGGTGCTGTCCTATGCTTCATTTAGTACCTGACCTGAGAAAGACTGACTTTAAAAAAGTTAACATATATGTATATATATATATATATATATATATATATATATATATACATATATATATATATATATATCATGTATGTATATATGTATATATATATATATGTATATATGTATGTATATATATATATATATATATATATATAATACAGGTCCTCAAAAAAATTGCATATTGTGATCAAGTTCATTATTTTCTGTAATGTACTGATAAACATTAGACTTTCATATATATTAGATTCATTACACACAACTGAAGTAGTTCAAGTCTTATTGTTTCATATTGATGATTTTGGCACACAGCTCATGAAAACCCAAAATTCCTATCTCAAAAAATGTGCATATTTCATCCGACCAATAAAAGAAAAGTGTTTTTAATAGAAAAAAAGGCAACCTTCAAATGATTATGTTCAGTTGTGCACTCAATACTTGGTCGGGAATCCTTTTGCAGAAATGACTGCTTCAATGCGGTGTGGCATGGAGGCCATCAGCCTGTGGCACCGCTGAGGTGTTTTGGAGGCCCAGGATGCTTCGATAGAAGCCTTAAGCTCATCCAGAGTGTTGGGTCTTGCCTCTCTCAACTTTCTCTTCACAATATCCCACAGATTCTCTATGGGGTTCATGTCCAAAGAGTTGGCAGGCCAATTGAGCACAGTAGTCAGTAAACCATATACTAGTGGTTTTGGCACTGTGAGCAGGTGCCAGGTCATGCTGAAAAATAAAATCTTCATCTCCATAAAGCTTTTCAGCAGATGGAAGCATGAAGTGCTCCAAAATCTCCTGATAGCTAGCTGCATTGACCCTGCCCTTGATAAAACACAGTGGACCAACACCAGCAGCTGACATGACACCCCAGACCATCACTGACTGTGGGTACTTGACACTGGACTTCAGGCATTTTGGCATTTCCCTCTGCCCAGTCTTCCTCCAGACTCTGGCACCTTGATTTCCAAATGACATGCAAAATTTGCTTTAATCTGAAAAAAGTACTTTGGACCACTGAGCAACAGTCCAGTGCTGCTTCTCTGTAGCCCAGGTCAGGCGCTTCTGCCACTGTTTCTGGTTCAAAAGTGGCTTGACCTGGGGAACGCGGTACCCGTAGCCCATTTCCTGCACACGCCTGTACACGGTGGCTCTGGATGTTTCTACTCCAGACTCAGTCCACTGCTTCCACAGGTCCCCCAAGGTCTGGAATCTGTTATTCTCCACAATCTTCCTCTTCATCAATATTAGAAACAATAAAATGCTTGAACTACTTCAGGTGTGTGTAACGAATCTAATATATATGAAAGTCTAATGTTCATCAGGACATTACAGAAAATAATGCACTTTATCACAATATGCAATTTTTTTATGAAGGACCTATATATATATATATATATATATATATATATATATATATATACATATATGTGTGTGTGTGTGTATCGACAAACCTCTGAGATAAGGAAATTCAAACTTCGTAAATATGAAGTGTCTTTAAATAATAACAAATGTTTAAGGTGAAAATAATTCAGTGTTCCCATATGTGGGCAGGGTTTGCGTTTACTCTGAATTCAAATGTTTTGACTTCTGAGAAAAAAAAGTCAAATTCTGAGATTGAAGTCAGAATTCATTTTTCTTTTCAGTGTCCCTATTCCTCAATTAGTAATAGTATTGTACAACAATAAAGTACAAAAGTTGCATAGTGTTACATTTTTTGAGAAAGGATACTGGACTTTTAGGACTTTTAGAGGTGTAGTTGTAATCTGAGTCAAGAGATGGCAGTAGTTCCGCTTCTGAGGATGCAGGCTGCCGTAAAACACATAAAGAAGATCACGTTCTATAGAAATACGTCACTTCCGTAAACAAGCCAACTGAAATGTGTTCGTGTTCTGTTTGGTTAAAAGAATTTTTGCCACGTTTTTCCGCTTCTTAACGGTAAGCATTTCTAAAACGGACATTTAAGCGTCATTTTACTTTAACGTAATTTTTAAAATGTTTTCTACGTAGACCATTTAGGTAATAAAAACAGATTTTTAGTCTTGGTTTCGATATCGACTTAGTTTTCGTTCGCATACACAGACGTTAAAATAGTTCTTAGTAAATAAAAAAGGCAGTTTCTACAAACAACGATGCAAACCAAGGGTTTTAATCTGCCGCTCAGGGGTCAGGTGCTTCTTATTGTTGCTTTGACCAATCGTGAGCTCCTTCCTAAATCAAGAAAAATTAACCGTATCAGGTTAGTGGCTGAGGGTAAATAAAGTGCAGTTTTGCACATTTATGACACAGAAATAAACGATTCTACAAAACAAATTAGAGGGTTATTCTAATAAAAATTAGAAATAGGACTAAAGGAAGTCTTGTCTGGTCAAAAAACGTAACAGCAATTTTATTTATTTATTTTTATTTAAAAAATCAGTTATGAAATTTGATGTTTGTCATTCAGATAATTGATTACGGTGTGCTATTTGATTTTAATGCGGGACACAAATTAAAACTAGGTTTGTATTATTATTAAAGTTTAAATCTAATCATAGGAGTAGAAACCACGACCTAGAGAGTTTGGTCCTTTTCTGTTTATTTTAGTTTCATAATATAACTGTCTCTAATTTTATCATGTCTATAGGTCACTTGATTAGTTCTCTTTAGATCTAATATCCTGTGTATTTGCAGCTCTGAACAAATATTTTTTAGTGGAAGAAAAGTCAGAAATGGCCCAGATCTAAACACATCTAAAATTGTAGCTGCTAGTGTTTCCTGCATTCCCACATTGGTTGTGTAACTACCGGTATTCTGAACTGTTTGTCATACAGATGGCTCACCCTGATTCCACAAACTCCAGTTCCACTAAAGAGTCCTGTGCAGATGAAAATACAGAAGCGTTGGGAAATGAACCTAACGATAAAAGTCCCAAGTGTGTGAGCAATGATCGTAGCAGTCCAGACATACGCTTAAGAGACCGAGTGTTAAAGGAGGTAGGACTCACCAGCTCAGCCTTCATTGGTCCAGCATTCCCTCCAGAATCATCCACCACTAAATCTGACATAGAAGAGTCACTGAGTGATTTTTATAAAGAACTGGAGAATATTGATACACCAGATGGTCCAAACGAAGATGTTCTTGATTCACCTACCAGCAAAAATACTCAAGGTGAACCTGAGGGGAAAACTACAACCACATGGACTTCTGTAGAAACAAACAGCTTTCAGAACAAAAGTGGAAAGGCAAAGTTCTCCTGGCCTCACTGGTATCAGGATGCACCATACCACCTTAAAAGTCCAATGTCGAACCCCGATTCCAACCACTGGCCCCATCGTCCACCACCAAACAGACCAGCATTCCTCAGATTTCACAGACCACCATTTCCTCACCAACCACCTCAACCTGCCTACCAAAATCCACAAAATTATCCACCACATATCAGTGTTGCCTCCAGCAGTTTAAGAACAACTCACCAGTATTCTGATGAGTTTTTTCTTCCAGCATTTCCACCTTCAGATTTATGCAATCATGGGAATTCTACTCACCCCTCCCGTAGGAATGATCTGGGTCACTATAACATGGACTCAGATTATGCAGAGTGGTCTCAGGATAGAAGAGAGGAATGGTCTCAGTGTGGTGAAAATTATAACCAACCTCAGAGATTCATATCTGAACAGAGGGCACCACAGCATCCCTTCCAACCGTATGATAACACACACAACCATCATTCAGCTTCGGTGCTGATTTTAATGAGAGGATTACCTGGATCTGGAAAAACTACACGGGCCAGGTATGCTGATCACAAACTCACTTTTTGATCATATGACCCTGTTTTTATCTGGGATCTAGAATAATAATTGTATTTATCTCAGGGAGCTGCTCCCCATTGGTCCTTGTGGGGTTATCCTGAGTACAGATGATTACTTTGCCCAAAAGTATGGGTACCAGTATGACCCGGGCCTTCTTGGGGTGGCACATGAATGGAACCAAAGCAGAGGTAAAGACAATCTGAAATTCTCATACTTGTTAAGATTTGTCACAATAGTTTGTAAAAATATGCCCTTATTGTTAACTTATGCATGTTTAATTATCAGCTAACAACGCCCTGAATGATGGCCGGTCTCCTGTTATTATTGACAACACAAACCTCCAAGCCTGGGAAATGAAGCCATATGTCAAAATGGTAAGGATCAGTTTTATTTATTTATTTAAATGCAAACAGAGGTCAGAATCTTCCAAAAGTGGACCAAGAGGGAAGAAATTGCTGTTCTGCAACAGGGCTATGAGCAGCCATCGCTGTATTCAGTTAAACAAGGTTTTCTCAAAAAACTGTAAAAATAAAGCAAAAAATTTACTATATTTGATATTTATCTTAAAAACTGGGAGATGAAGAGTGCAGAGAGCTGGTTTGGTTTTTTCAGGTTGTAAGCAAGTGTGCAAAAATCTGTAAAATGCTGTATAAAAATACACAAGACAGCTTTTAAATGGGTTCTAGAAGAATGTTTTTTTTTACTTTTTGGGACTGAAAACTATTTTCTGAGCCTCCATATAACAAGACAATGTGCCTGTTTCAAGGAGTACAAGTCCAATAGAGGAGAAAGTAGCTTCAGACAACAGGATTTGGACTATTATTTCCTGCTATTTGGGCATCTCTCCTCTGAATGGCTAACAACAACACGGCTCTACCACTGACTGTTTGATTAGTGACATTGACGTTTTATCTCCACTAATAACACAAGCCTGAAGGAGTTCTGCCATGTGGGGGAGTCACTAATGCTAACAGTTAGCTTATACTAGTCGAGACATTCTCTGCTGTTTCTTGGACGCTAAATCAACAACAGCCTTCCCCATCATGAGTTAAATTGGGTGAGTCCATGAATGTTAAGTGACAGTGTGATGTAGATCTGTCAGGTTTTTCAAATCCTTGAGATTCACCTATTTTCTTTCAGAAGCTAATGCAGGACAAAAGTGTAGAAGACTACATGAAAAACTCAAAGTGACCGATTATAATCAGAAATAATAATTAGAAAATGAATTTTCAGTGAACTATAACTTTGAAGACACATTTAGTTTTAGCTTGCTTTTAGCAATCCCTAGATTCTGTTGTTAATTCACTGTCGTAAAACCGAAAGTGAAACTCTCTCCTCTCTTTGCGTTTGTCTTTTTAACACCTTAACCTAACTGCTGAAATGTCTCGTCGGCTTTTGTAGTTTCTACAGGAGCTGTTCATTACTAAATGAAACAAATCAGCTGTGTTCTTCATCTAAAAGATGCAGGAATCATGTACCGGAAGAACACTCTAGCTATAGCATGTCAGATCCATTTTACTATTGAGTAACAGGGATTGGTCAAGGGTACTCTGAAGTTGCAAGCATGGTATTCTGGGCACAGGGGGTGGTGAGATCTGAGTGACTTTTCATGAAGCCCTGGCGTTGGCACATATTGGCTCAAGGAAATTATTTAAAGATAAAAAAAGTTGCACAGTATACCTTTTAAAGAAAATCACACTTATAAATTAATTTTCTGATAAACACTTTTTTACGACCCAGATTTTATTCTTGCATTGCCTAGACAGTCCTAAGATTTATTTTTCACCTTTTTGCAACAGACACTCTTGTACTCCTTTAGATTAGCTCCTGACTGAAACTGTTCAGTGTCAACCAAAATGGTTTTATTCAGTTTATTTCCATTGCTTATTCTTTTTTTTCATTCTGTATTTGTTGTTGTTGTTGTTGTTGTAATGTTCTACATTGCAGAGAGATGCACAGAAAAACACATTGTGTCTGATACAGTGGGTGCGGAAAGTATTCAGACCCCAGTCCAATTTTCACTCTTCGTTTAAATTGCAGCCATTTTCTAAAATCAATGAAATTCATTATTTTCCTCATTAATGTACACACAGCATCCTATATTGACAGAAAAACATAGAATTTTAGAAATTTCTGCAGATTTATTAGAAAAGAAAAATCACATGGTCTTTGCTCAGTATTTAGTAGAAGCATCCTTTTGAGCTAATACAGCCATGAGTCTTCTTGATAAAGATGCGACAAGTTTCTTACACCTGGATTTGGTGATCTTCTGCCATTCCTCCTTGCAGATCCTCTCCAGTTCTGTCAGGTTGGATGGTGAATGTTGGTGGACAGCCATTTTTAGGTCTCTTCAGATATGCTCAATTGGGTTTAAGTCAGGACTCTGGCTGGGCCATTCAACAACAGTCACAGGGTTGCCATGAAACCACTTCTTTGTTATTTTAACTGTGTGCTTAGGGTCATCGTCATGTTGGAAGGTAAACTTTTGGCCCAGTCTGAGGTCTTGAGCACTCAGGAGATGGTTCTTGTCAAGGATATCCCTGTTCTTGCCTGCATTCATTCCCTCAATTGCAACCAGTCATCCTGTCCCCCTGCAGCTGAAAAACACCCCCACAGCATGATGCTGCCTCCACCATGCATAACAGTGGGGACTGTATTGGACAAGTGATGAGCAGTGCTTGGTTTTCTCCACACATACCACTTAGAATTAAGACCAAAAAGTTCTCTCTTGGTCTCACCAGAGATGGGAATCTTATTTTTTACCATCTCAAGTCCTTCAGGTGTCTTTTATCAAACTCCATGCAGGCTTTCGTGTTTCTTGCAGAGGCTTCCAATGAGCCACTCTGCCATAAAGCCCTGACTGGTGGAGGGCTGCAGTGATGGTTGACTTTCTACAGCTTTCTCCCATCTCCTGACTGCATCTCTGGAGCTCGGCCACAGAAATCTTTGGGTTCTTGTTTACCTCTCTCACCAAAGCTCTTCTCCCCCGGTAGCTCAGTTTGGCTGGATGGCCTGCTGCAAGGAGGGTTCTGGTCGCCCCTGTCTTCCATTTAAGGGTTATGGAGGCCACTGTATCTCGGGGTCTTGTTCACGAGTGAGGGAAATCTGGAGCACGAGATCGATAGGTGGATTAGTGCTGCGTCTGCAGTGATGCGGGCGTTGTACCAGTCTGTCGTGGTGAAGAGAGAACTGAACCAGAAGGCGAAGCTCTCGATTTATCAGTCGATCTACATTTCTACCCTCACCTATGGTCACGAGCTTTGGGTAGTGACCGAAAGAACGAGATCGCAGATACAAGCGGCTGAAATGAGTTTTCTCCACAGAGTGGCTGGGCTCTCCCTTAGAGATAGGGTGATAAGCTCAGTCATTCGGGAGGGGCTCGGAGTAGATTCGCTGCTCCTCCACATGGAGAGTTGAGATGGCTCAATCATCTGGTCAGGATGCCTTCTGGACGCCTGGTGAGGTTTTCCGGGCACGTCCAACCGGGAGGAGGCCTAAAGGGAGACCCAGGACACGTTGGAGGGACTATGTCTCTCAACTACGTCTGTCACCTTGCCAGGGAATGCCTTGGGATTCCCCTGGAAGAGCTGGCCCAAGTGGCTGGGGAGAGGGAAGTCTGGGCCTCTCGACTCAGGCTACTGCCTCAAGGGCCGGTATTCAACACATTTTAGTTTTAACCCTGTTTCAACACACCTGATTTCAAGCAGCAGGGGATTAACAGGCTTTTGCAGAGCCTGATGAGCTGCTGCACATGTGATTCAACCACTGAATCAAGTGTGTTGGAGGAGAGAAACCACTAAAACGTGCTGGATACTGACCCTCCAGGCTCGGGATTGAGTAAAGCCTGGGGCACACCGGAGGCAGACCGAGATTTTGAGAAGTCAAGTGGTCACACGGGCCGCGCCGCTGAGCGCTTCTTGGAAAGTCACGCAATAGTCACAACATTACGCAGGATTTGAGAACAGAAAGCGGGAAGTGACTCTATTGTTTATACGTGATCAGACTTACCGCCATGATTTGTGAGACTGAAATTCATAAAAAATGGGTACAGTAAGTACGCTGTTTATGTGAATATTTTAAGATCAACAGTACTTTAAAATTATCTAAAATGCGGCTGGGTTTGTGCCGGCGGTTGAGTTTGTGCTGTAAAGCCGTTCCGCGCCGTAATGTCTGTTAAGTACTCCACAATGACATAAACAGCCGCAGCACTTGAGATAGAACTGGCTCCTATCTTCAGCGCTTAGCCGCGCCGCGGCGCTCCCCGTTTATCCACTCTCGTTAACTATAGTGGCTTCTATTTAAAATGATGGTGCAGTGTGGGTGCGACAGCGCGTCCGCCTCCGGTGTGCCCCAGGCTAAAGCCTGGTCTAAATACTTAGGACCATGTGATATTTCAGCTTGTATTTCTTTAATAAATATTTAATTACATTTTTTAAATTCTGTGTTTTTCTGTCAAAATGTGGTGCTGTGTATACATTGAGGAAAACATATTTTTTAATTGATTTTAGCAAATGGCTTCAACATAATGAAGATTGAAAAGTTGACCAGTGTCTGAATACTTTTTGTACCCACTGTACACATGACATAAACCTAAAGCTGCACTAGTCATAATCTTATGGCTGATATTATGCTTCTATTATATAATTTTTCTGATATATTCACCAGGCCTTGGAGAGAGGATACAAAGTGGACTTTTGTGAACCAGAAACCAGCTGGAAGTTTGATCCTCTTGAGTTGGAAAAGTACTTTTGTCTAATCAGGCACAAATTTTCACAATTTTAATAAACCTCACACGCATGAACAGCATGAGCATGATTTGATATTTCTCCTCCAGGCGGAACAAACATGGTGTTCCTCAGGAAAAGATCAAACAGATGATGGATCGTTTTTCCTCGCCCGTATCCATTGACATCATCATGAGTTCAGAGGAGCCAGCTCACGTCAACCAGAGACGTTGGTCAGAGCAGCAGCAGAACAGGAAAAAGCCACGTTTTTATTAGTTTAATGCAGGACCACCAGCACTGGTGTACACACACCACTCTTGTGTTCTGTAAATGTATTTTTTTGAAGAAGTCTCTTTTTTTATGCTTTCTAAAGATCCAAACATTGTTTACATTTAATATGAGAAGACTGATGTTCAAATCTTTTGACTTGTAAAATATGAAACTAAAGGTAAAATAAAGAGGCTGTGTGTTAATTACCAACCTATTTGATCTCCCAAAGTGTGTTTGACATCTTCAGATTCCTGTAAATGATCAGGTGTGCCTCAGCTTCAGTTCTTAGTCTGTCTTTCCTTAAGCTGTTTTTTTTCTTTAAAGGTGCAATAAGTAACACATTTACAGTGAAATAATCACAAAATAGTCTACTTAGCCAGCTGTGGTGGTTGTCAGTTTTTTTTCCCTTAAAAAGGTGGAAGAGGGATATAGTTTTTAATTACAATCCAGATTGCCTCCATACGTCAACGTTTCAGAGGCAATGACATGAGAGCCCACAACGTTGCCAAGTCTGCGCTGACAAATTCTTCTGCTCCAGCATTTGTAACTTGACACTGTGGGGCAAAAAGCAGCAGCATAGGGAGCCTAAGTCATGCCCATCTTCTTCTTGACCATGGGCCCCCAGAAGAACGAAAAAATAAATGCAAGTCAATGGGGCTAAAATGCTATTATCTAATTCCTCTCGTTTTGTGCCATGGATTTCACATATGATGTCTGTAAATTTTAAAGACGAATGTTGAAACCAAGAATGCAATTATTTTCGAACGGAGGGAAACATTATTTTAGGTTTGGTGTGAAAATAAGTCCAGGACTACAAATGTGCATCATAAAAGTGACGTCATCAATCCAGACACCGAGAAAAACTGAGGGAAAATGGCTGTAAGTTTGGCGAACTTAAAATCCTTCCTTCAGGAGGACAAAAACACCATAAATCTGGCCATTTGGTAAGTAGCAGCTATGCTAGAGGAGAAGAGATTCTGTGGTGACATCATATATGCAACGTGCCAATATCTAATTTGTAGTCATGCTAACTACGAACTTTTACAAGCTGATAAATCTCAAAGTACGTGACAGGGATGGCTGAAACACCCATAGTTAGTTTTCATTTAAATTTCAGTACAACATATGTGCAATCCAGGGCCTAAGGCAGGATTAGAAAATAACTTTTAGCCCCGTTGACTTGCACTCATTTTTTTTGTTATTCCGGGGACCCATGAGCCGACCGGAAAGGGAGGAGAGTTAGGCTCCCTATTGCTGAAAGAACTAAAGCCAGTAACAGGATCAACCCAGAAGTTATTTCTAGTACTCCCAAGGCCATGTACACATATAGCTGGGTTTTTGTAAAATCAAACATTCTCCTCTGCCCATTTAAGAAAAAAACTTTGGTCCACATCGCCTCATTTCCAGCAAGAATATCCGGTGCACTGTGATTAGCAATGCCAAGCCTGTCGATGGCAGGAGCTCCCCAAATCTTGAGCATCTTTGCCAGAGAAAAATTCCCTACTTACTTATTTTGTGTGACTTGTATTCATTCGTCATCTAAAATCTTGCTGAGATCTGACTTGATTGCTTTGAAACATGGACTGCAGTTCCCAAATTTGGCCACAGAATGTCCTTCTTACTTCATGTTCTGAAGAGCTTATGACAGACTTGGGTCAGCTTTCTTCGTTTCAGCCTCACAGTTTGCAGACTTCATTACAGGTTGTAGCACTTGTAATAAATATTTTTTCCCATTAAGATTATATCAATAAAATGTTATTGCTAAAACGATTGAGCATCCTATTAGTAGAACGTGACTCCCCGTGAAACAGACAGTGAGATAAATTAAGGTAATTTCGATCCGTAATAGTGTTTTATTGATTTGTCTCTGAATTCCTTTGTGTTTCTGAAGCCTCTCTTCCTCCCTTGCCTCATAAACCACTAACAATATTTTGTTTGACTTTTATATTCCATCCATCAAGTTTCCTCTGCTCATCCGTGGCCTAGTCACAGTGGCAACAGCGGAAGCAGAGAGGCCCAGAAATCCCTCCCCCCAGCCACTTGGTCCAGCTCCTCCGGAGAATCCTAAGGCATTCTTGGGTCTGACGAGAAATGCCAGTCCCTCCATCGTGTCCTGTGTCTTCCTTTAGGTCTCCTCCCAGTTGGATGTGCCTGGGAAACCTCCACAGAAAGGTGTCCAGGAGGCATCCTAATCGGATGCCTGAGCCGCCTAAACTGGCACTTTAATTACTTTGTCCAATTCCAGAAGTTATTTGTCCAGCAGTGTGTTTATTTTCACTGCTGCACATTATTTAGTCAGACTTATTGGTCCATTTGTTTTAGAAATAACTGATTGACTTTCTAGGAAATATAGTGTATTTTTTTCTGTTTTGTTTCTTATCATGACAAAAAAATCTGTTAACTGCATTTGGTAATAATTCATGAGGTGAGCCGTGTGACCTTTTATATGCTCTGGAATGATCTACTTATTAGACAGGACAAGATGCACAATCGCATCTCCAATAAGCTGCAAATTCCTGACAAAAGGTTAATGTTTGCATCTTCATTAAAACTGTTATCAATATTGGAACTTTTAATTAATTTTTTTTGTTGCAGTTTTATGTCAGCTCTCTCACAGATCACCTTTGACCAATGCAGAAAACTACCAGTAAGACTCATTTGAGCAACACTTACACAAAAGGCAGCTTAACAACAGGATATCAGGAACAGGGAAATGCATGATGTGCATCAGTGCAAAATGAGGCCAGCTTCTCTTAGGCACATTAAAGAAACCACGAGAGCACACAAATAGGCAGGTTTAGAAAGGAGAAACTCACTCAAAAATTCAAAATTTTATTTATTTTTTGACTAAAGCTTTCTATAAATTGAACTGAGGTGTACAAATAAAAGCAAGTGGTTGATTTTAAGCATAATCCTGTATTGTATATGATCTGCTACATTCGAAAGCTTCGTTTATTCAGATATTATTCTACCTGGGTGATTGCCTGTACCACAGAACGAAACACAAACATACTGACGAATGTTGGTTATTCAATAATTTTGATTGCACAGATCAAACAGGCCTCCACCAGGAAAACACCTGTGCTTTTCTGCGTATGTGTCATAACTTTTTTATGATGTTGTACGAGCCAGCAGCACCATATGTGTTGCATTTGGCAGGTTGTGTCTGGCTTTACAAGCGAGCGAGTCTGCAGCAGCAAACAGCAGGCGTGCTCAGAATGGTGATTATACAAGACAGCTGATTAGTGATTTGTGTTCACTGAATGGAGGTGATGAATCACTTACTGCTGGTAATCATCATAAAGACAAAAAAAAAATCTAATCAGAGTAGGTGCACACCAGAGAATAATAAAGCTGAGGTGGTAGATGAATGTACTCTTCACATTTAAAGCAGAATGGGGTAAAGAGGCAGTTTAATTTCACTTTATTTAAATTTTCTGCTGTTGCACAATTCTCATTTTAGGCTTTTGAAGTAGAAAATTAAGATGACCAGGAGACACTTGTTTACATTTGGTGCTAAAGGCAATACTTGCTTCAAAAAAGAAATTTTAACGATGAAAAAGTATAACTCCCAAAACTCGAGCTACATTATTTAGATCACTGGATTTGACTCATGGTTTCCTCATGACGACGTCCATAAGCTCATATTCATTCAACCTGAAAAGAAAAAAGGACGAAGAATGAACTTGAAGCTCACATAAACATCCCTCTACGTTTGTTGTTTGTCACGTGACGCTGATAGCCAATAAACAGCGTGTGCCGCGACCGCACACCGTGTCATCTATGTACAAGGGGTACAAAGCAACGGCCGGTAGGCGGGGTTAAGTAAAGAACACTGAGACCGGAAACCAGAAACTTCAGTCTTCAAAATAAAAGCGTGATCCAAGTAGCGTAACAAAAGCATTTTCAAGGTGATCAAAATGGTCTGAGTATAAATCTAAGTTCTGATAAATAACAACATTAAAAATAATCAGAACTGGACTTGCGGCACGTTGGCAAGAGCCTGGTGGCTGGGCTTTCACCCATGGAGCCCGGCCAGGCACAGCCCGAAGAGTAAACTTGGGTCCCCCTTCCAATGGGCTCACCACCCGTGGGAGGGACCAAAGGGGTCAGGCGCAATGTGTGGTGGGTGATAGCCGTGGACTTTGACGATATGATCCTTGACTACAGAAGCTGGCTCTTGGCACGTGGAACGTCACCTCTCTGGTCAGGATGGAGCCTGAGTTGGTGTGTGAGGTTCTGACTAGATATAGTCTGACTCACCTTGACGCATGGCTCTGGCTCCGGAATCAGTTTCCTTGAGAGGGGCTAGACATACTACCACTTTGCAGTTGCCCCCACTGAGAGGTGCCGAACAGGAGTAGGCATACTAGTTGGCCCCCATCTTGGTGTCTGTATGTTGGGGTTTACCCTGGTGATTGAGAGAGTAACCTAGCCTTCCTCCACCTACATGTGAAGGGACAGGTCTTGACTGTGGTTTGTGCTGACGCACTAAAATGAAGGTGTTTTGTTATTGGACTTCTGTGCTTGTCATTGATTGTCCCATAATAAACACCGTGTTCAAGCATAAAGGTGTCTATTTGTGCAGTATTTGTGCACCAGGACACCTTATAGGCCGCAGCCCGATGATCGACTTTGACCAGAGCTGCGGCCGCAGAATCATCGGTGTCTGTCATGGCAGCAACCCCTGAACCCGCAGGTGGACACTGGTGGTTATGTATGCATTCTCTATGATGGTTTTGAACTGATCTGCCTTTGTTTTGAAAGGCAGCACCGGAAGTCTTTCAGTACGCTCACGCTAACTTGACAGCTGAGGAGCTCATCCTTGATTTTGATATGATGCTGTGCTGCAGTTACGCTCCAGGCGGTCACACACTCAAACAGGACGTGTTTCTTCTGATTCTGGTTCATCCATCCGTCCTCCTCATGTCCGCGAGACTGCTGTCGGTTTCTTCGTGACCCGCGAGCGCCTCTGATCCTCTGGGCGGGTCGATCATGGTGCTCCATCGCATAAAGAACGAAGTTTAACTCCGGCGACCTGAGGAGGTACAGGGGCGGATTTAAAATAAATAAATTAAAACACCACACAAGCGGTAAGCGAATAAATATTTCAAGGGTTTCAAGAACGGAGGGGCAAATATTGACAAACTCCTGACAGTTTTTGTGGAGGATTGAATCAAAATTTAATCAAGGGCAAATGTATTATTTATAGAGAATGGATCATTGTTGTTTTTTTTGTATTCAGGGTTTTGGTGGAAATCATGATTTTAGAAACTTTAATCTGAGCACAAATGGTGGAAACGTAAAATTTATTTCACTATAAATAGAAACAAATACATATTATTCTCAGTCTTTTATTATATAATGGGTAGTTTGACGATTTTAATTTCAGCAGACTAGAGCTCTGAACCTCTTGATGAAAGCATTTACATGTTTGTTCTCAGTTCTGTCCTTTCCTGCACATCAAAGCTCTGCCCAGGTCTGACTGGGCTTCATTTATGATCCAGGAACATTACACTCATTTCAGCAAATGTCAGATTACATTCTCTTGAAATATAATGACAATTTGTGAGTCAATCTTAGAGGTCAAAGTGTCTGGACCCCCCCCCCCCCCCCCAAAAAAAAAAGAATGAAATAATGATGAAAAAAAAATCAGTGTGTCAGGCTTTGCATCTATCCTCTGATTTAATTTTAGCTCCAATTGTCAGAGGCAGAGCTGAAGCCTCTCCAGCCAGCTGTTAGTTACATAATGTCAGCCGAGGACTTCCAGTCTGGCGAGAAGAGGGAAAAGAATGGAGTTTTAGCTGAGATAATACAGTGTGTGAACTTGTTGTAGAGCCTTATCCAGTGGATGTTTTACTTCCACGTGGCTGAAAAGATGCAGATAATCCAAAAATAGGTCAGAGAAAGAGATATAACCAATAGTTATACCTAGAGATGCACACTAAACCAGTTTCCAGTCATTGCAATTCCACACCCCTATGAATATAACCATCCTCAACGTGTATCAGACTAAAGTGTCTTTGGAGAGGTGAGGAGAGCTCTGACTGGTTTAATTCTTGTTAAACTTGTCAGCAAAGAGCAGAGTAGCAATGCAAGATTTATTGAAGCACAACATTTGTTTTGGATTCATTAATGAGGATTTTCTCAAGTGGAACAAGATGGGCTTGTTGGTTGGAAAGGTTAAAGGTGCACTATGTAAGAATCTAGTGAGAATTTCACAGTGAGAAAATCCAAGAGTCTAATGTTTCAGTCATTTTGGAAGGAAATTTATACCGTGACATATTTCATATCCATCTAGCCGCAGTTTTTCTCCTTTCAAAACAAATGAAGGAGGGACGTAACTACTGTTAATCATCGGTGAGTGGGGGGTTGCCGTGTTCCCTGTGAGCTAATACTAAAGCGCTGACAATTGTAATTTGACGGTGGCCGGCAAAAAGCTCCAGAGTTGTTTAAAGTGGTTGCAGCAACCACATTTTAGCACAGGATGTCATTTTTGCTTCATTTCTACATAATGCACCTTTAAAGAGTTGAATGGAGCTTTATAAATCATGATCAGAGATGGATTAATGTGAAGATTCTCCGACCAATATTAAAGTTTCTTTATTTAATGTGTTGCATGGCAGCTGCATGGTGGTAGTGTTGGCATGCTGACGACAGTCATTCATCACTACTGGTTTTAAAACGCTCATCTATGATTCTGCATTTGCAGAAAATTATTTGGTCATGTGACAGTAATAGTAAACATCTTTGAAGTGATGTGTGTGTTGGTTTCATGATTTCATTATAAGGTGATAGCATCACTATAATTATACAAGTGTAAAATGGGCTTTTGTTGCATAAAAAACTAAAGTCCTTATGTAATGATAATAATAGTAATTAAAACCTCTGTGTTGCACTGAGGGAACCACAGCTGCAGGAGCTGAGAGCTGCACCCTAATAAACACCCTGGATTGCAGCAGGAGCTGTGAGCAGCACAAATATCCCCGTTACATAATCCTAAAACTCTCAGTGTAGTGTTGAGAGTACTTTTGCTGAGAGAAGGGACACAATAATCTTAACTGGAATCGGTCGGGAACTGGTACTACCGATTGCTTTGGAAATCCTCTTCAGGATCAAACCAAAACATATTCACCAATCGCACCAAGTTGCTGCGGTTGCGTTTTGATGAGTAAAATCTTTGACGCAACATGTTCGTTTTAGTTGCTGGTGATGACTGAAGTACTGACCTTTTCCTCCTGCTTTAGCGGGAAAAACAGCTGCTGCAGAAACACCATGATGTGTCTATGTTGTGTTTAATGAGTGTGTTCAGCTGGAGGGGCAGCGGCTGCAGGTACCTGTGGCACACAGCTGCAGCTGTGGCATTAAATTACCTCTGCTGCCTGACACATGTTTGAGTGTGTCTGCTGATTACAGTAGCCAGCTGACATCGTCGGCCTTTAACAGGAATGTTCAGAACCAACACTGTGCTGCTCCCTTTTAGAGGTTCATGGTTTGTGTTTTCCTCCCCAGAAAAAAGATGAAATATCTTGATGTATTCATTTGATTATTGTTGCCCCAACAGCCATGATGCTATGAGCCTGCAGGAAGGCAGCCTGGACGCACATGATGGAGGAGGCTGCCAGTCAACTTGAACGAGACCACGTGCACAGCGTCTACAACAAGATTGCCCCATATTTCAACGACAGCCGCTATAAAGCCTGGCCCAAAGTGAGACAATTCCTGCTGGACCTGCCGGTTGGGAGCATCGTTGCAGACATCGGTGAGGGTTACCTCCGGTTCACAGCTTCATTTAAAATAAACCCCGAGATGAATCAAGTTATTTTTATAGCACATACTGAGAGTGTCTTGTCCTTGGCAGGCTGTGGCAATGGCAAGTACCTCCACATTAACCAGGAAGTGTTCAAGCTGGGGTGTGATGTTTGTCGCCCCCTGGTGGACTTTACTTGGAGTCAAGGACATGAGGTCCAGATGTGTGACGGACTGCGCTTGCCTTACAGAGATAGCTGCTTTGATGCTGTTCTCTCTATTGCAGGTAATGAGGAAACACACGCACACACCCAGTGTTACCTGTGAAATAATTCATGCATCCTCCAACGAGGATGCAATTAGGCTGAAAGAACAGGGCAGTTGCACACATTATTTACGCAGCGAGTCAGACATTTTGCTTGTGCTCAATTTTCTGTAAATAAACATCCAGCTTCATTCCTTCTGGAAGAAGCTGAAAGCCACACCTCATACCACACACCATAGACACGAATATGTAAACTCCCCATTGGGCACAGGTCCCTGTATGACCGGTGTCAGAGCTTGGTCCGCATTGCTGGCAGTAAGTCGGGCTCGTTCCCAGTGAGAGCTGGACTTCGCCAAGGCTGCCCTTTGTCACCGATTCTGTTCATAACTTTTATGGACAGGATTTCTAGGCGCAGCCAAGGTGTTGAGGGGATCCACTTTGGTGGCCTGAGGATCGGGTCTCTGCTTTTTGCAGATGATGTGGTCCTGTTGGCTTCATCGGAACGTGATCTCCGGCTCTAACTGGAGCGGATCGCAGCAGAGTGTGAAGCAGCTGGGAGAAGAATCAGCTCCTCTAAATCTGAGACCGTGGATTTGAGTCAGAAAAGGGTAGAATGCCTTCTCCAGGTCAGGGGTGAGGTCCTGCCCCAAGTGGAGGAGTTTAAGTATCTCGGGGTCTTGTTCATGAATGAGGGAAAGATGGAGCATGAGATCGACAGGCGGATTGGTGCTGCGTCTGCAGTGATGCGGGCGTTGTACCGATCGGTCGTGGTGAGGAGAGAGCTGAGCCAGAGCGCAAAGGGATAGCCACATTTTAGCATTTTTTAAAGTTACTTTACACATTAGAAACAATGTACTCCAACTTTAAAAGTGCCTTTTCCACACAGTCATTCACCATTTTTCCACCAAAGAGCGTCGCATTCGAGCAATAAAAGAAATGGCTCGCACCCTACGGGTAGGTGGGCTCATCATGATCTATGTTTGGGCCATGGAGCAAAAACGGCGCAAATTCGAGAAGCAGGACATCTTTGTTCCCTGGAATCCAAACCCTCAACCGGCCTCCAGTTTCAGCAGAGAAGGTCTCCGACCCAGGAGGAGGGCCACGGTGCAGAGCGTGGGTGAAGCCATAGATAGCAGTGAAAAGCACAGAAAGGTCAGAAGCACATCATCCGTGGCAGATGAAGAAGATCAGGGCCGTTCAACACCTCAGCAGAGGACTCAGAGGCAGTGGTTCTTCTCCAGGTCTCTGGATTCCGTGTTTGACTTTGGAAGTTTAGCCATCTCCTGGCCGTCCTCCAGAGACCTGAGACTATTGTCCCTGCCCACAAGGGAAAACAAGTGCAGCAAGTCCAACCAGTATGGCAGGGGTCAAGGCCTCATCAAGCAGGTCTCAAGCTTCTTCTCCCCTCCATCTGTGATTGGATCAGAGGAGGATGTCTTTGATTCGGTCACAGATTTGCACAAGGACCAGCGTGGCCCTGGAGGCACAGAAAACCAAGACGTCTCAGTGTCTTTAGCCCAGGACTGTGGTTCCTTAGTGCTGCCAGATCTAATTTCCTTGCAAGGCGAACATCTAAAGCAATCTGGGGATGAAACTGATGGGGTTCCTCAGGGAGAGGAGCAGCAGGCTAGCACACAAAGTCCTGAGGGGGGCGAAGGGCAGGAGGGCTCCTGTCTAAGGTACTATCATGTCTTCAGAGAGGGAGAGCTAGCAGAGCTGATAGAGCAGCATGTGGAGGAGCTCCACATAAAACACACCTACTTCGATCATTCTAACTGGTGTGTGGTGGCGGAGAAAGTTCGGCTCTGGAAAATATGATCTTATTCAGCCCAGATTTTAGCCCTGAATCAATCATTCAGCAAATAAGACATTTATTTGTTATGAAATGTCCAATTTAGCACTTTTTAGATGGATTCTTGAAACTATTTGAGCTCAGAGGATTGCAGTATGAAGCAATGGTTGTTCTGTGTTTACAGAACCACTTTTAGAGTATTTATTCTATTTTAAAATGTGACGACAAATAAGCATTACCCCAAGTCCCCGTGTTTGTTTTCTGTTTTATCAGTAAGTTTAATTGCTGCTATTGATTTTATCCATTCACAAAGGTCATCTACAAAGGGTTATGTCGACAAATGTACTGTTTACTTTTCAGGATTAAAAGGCCAAAGCAAAATTAGAAAGACTGAGGTACAAGTTTCCTTCCGCTTTTAAATATTTTAACGTTTATTTTTGGTTCAAATGCTTTTCTGTCCATCTTTCCTCCAAAAACCGAGGAGCCAAATGCGCAGCAGGCATGTTTGCTGGGTGTTTTTAAGAACTTAATCTTTAATTTCTCACCTAACATCAATAACAGCTCAAAACATCTTCCCAAGCATTTGTGCTTTAGCCTCAAAATGTATCGGAAGCCACGTCGGCCATGTTTGATGTTGATGTTTGGTGTAGCTGCATGGTGTCTTGTAATGAGCTACATATACCGGTTAAGTGTGTTTCAGCAATTAAACTGCCTCATTTACTGTGAATAAACATTGCACTGTAACACTGCTTGATGTCAGAGAATGACACTGAAACAAGGCGACACTTGAAACATTACCTGTGCCCATTGTGCCAAGAATAATATCTGTTTTCGTAAAGTTTGTGTGGACCAACCATGTTTTAAAGTGATTCTGGTACCTTAATGTCTTGACTTTCAATTCCTTTTCTCTTAATAAATAAACGTTTTGGGTTCGAAAGTGTTTGTCTTGCATTTATTGTTATTTTTGTACCTTATTTATAGGAAGACACCAACACACCAAGTAACAAATTCAATAAAAAGGTAATTATTAGTGATATAATTTATACTTGGAGTATAAAATTTTATTCTGGAGCAGCATTTTTCAAACACTTTAGCTTCTGACCCTTTAAAAAAAACTAGAAATTTAGCCAAAATCTTAAATAAGTGGGCAATAATGTAAACAAACCACATCAGTCTGTACTGCTTATATTCGTTTTGGGGTAATACTACATAAGTAATAGTGAAATACTTCGGAAAGCACTGATGCTGAGTGATGGGCAACCATAGTCACCAGCTCAAAGCCACACTATTACATTTTTCTTTGTATTTAATCTAAATTATTGCGTGTTTAAAGTTAAGAAATGCAAATTTCACATGTAAATGTCTCTTTGTACTGCAATGGTGTAGAATTTAAAAATGTAATCTAAATACAATTGACTTGTAATACTTGCGATCGAAGATTGGAGCTCACAGACATCCAAATAATTTCTTTGTGATGATTTGCAGAGCTTTAGCTTTCCTTTGTGCATGTGGGTTTTACTGCTTCAGCTTTTTATTCAGTGAATGAAAACTGATCATACTGAGGTGACTGATGCAGGAGAGGTCCGCTTTGTGCTTTAAAGCTTATTTGGTTGCTTCCACAGTGGTTTGGGTTGTGATCCATGAGTTGAGATGCTCTGTCTAAAATAATTCCTTCTTTTATTTAATCAAAAACACATTTTTAATGGCAGAAACACATCTGCAGTCATAATACCTCCGATATTGTCCTCTAACCTCTTTTCGTCTTCTATTCTCATAAAGCTAGCGCGGGTTAGCAATTTGGTTTCATTGTTTTTACAAAACCGATGACTAGAGATGTAAGAAACTATTAATACACTGAGATATTTTGTATTATGATACTGAATTGATATAAAAACCAGTGCATCTTTTATTTTACTGGGAATTTACATTTAAATGTCTGCTATATCTCTTTTGTTTGGTGCAAGTTAACCTCCGACTGCTAAGTGGCAGCAGTTTTTATCATCTTAATACTAATGGAACAACACGTTCTCACGATAAGAATGGATGTGTATGTATATATATATATAATATTAATCAATCCTTCAAGGGTCCTCTTGATTCAGGCAAATAAAGGTTTTACATTTCCCTCCAAACCTGAAATAAGCAGAACAAAAATGCAATAATTACTTATCTAATCTGACAATTGATTTCAGAGCTGAAGGTTTTATTCATACGAGGGTTTTCTTTACCTGAGTAGCTGCTCTGTGGACGATGGAGTGTCTGAGGGCCAGTTTGTCCATATCTCTGGAGTACCCTCCGCCGATAACCGTAGCAACAGGAATCCCTCTGCTCACTGCTGCCTTCATCACATAAAGATCCCTGTTGTGAAGCCCTGAAGGACTTTAGATGACTTTAAAATCCATTTTAGATATGAGCATTTAAAGGTGGGGTAGAAAGTGTTTTTCCGTGGCATTTTGGCAGAATCACATACTGATGACAGCATACATTAAATGTGTTGTAAGTAAAGGAATAATTCTAGAAAAACCTCATCCAATCATTGTGAATGTCGCGTTCTCAATGATTAGATTATTATCCATCCATTGAACTGCCTAATGACCATCCCTCCCCAACTGCATGAGTCACATATTCTCAGCTTGGAGCAGCTGAACAGGAAGTGAAGCAAGAGCCAGGCTAGCTATATTAGCTAGCACACTAAATTATGTGGGTGCGATGCGTTGAGGATCATGACAGGTAAGGTGCCAACAATGGGTCGAAAATCTAAGATAACAGTATAGGGAGCCTAATTCTCCTCCCTTTCCATTCGGTTAATGGGTCTCCGGAATAACGACAAAATGAATGCAAGTCAACGGGGCTAAAAGAGCTATTTTCTAATCCGCTTTGCTTTACGCCTTGGATCACACATGTGTTGTACTTCAATTTAAATGAAAAGTAATGACGGGTGTTTCAACCACGCCCGTCACGTACTTTGAGATTTATTAGCTTGTAAAAGTTCGTAATTAGCATGACTACACACCAGAAGTCGGCACGTCGCATATATGACATCATCACATAATCTCCTCTCCCCTAACGTAACTGCTACTTACCAAATGACCAGATTCATGGTGGTTCTTTCCTCCAGTGGGAAGTTTGCTGAACTTACAGCCTTTTTTTTTTCAGTTTTCTCCATGTCTGGTTCGATGACGTCACTTTCATGATGCGCATTGGACTTATTTTCACAGAAAATCTAAAATAGCGTTTCCCCCTGCTAGAAAATAAGCGCGTTCTTGTTATCAAAATGTGTCTTTAAAATTCACAGACATCATATGTGAAATCCACGCATAACAAGCAGAATTAGAAAATAGCATTTTTAGCCCCATTGACTTGCATTCATTTTTTTCGTTCTTCCAGAGACCCATGGTCCAGAAGTAGATTAGGCTCTCCATGCTTCTACAGTTGCTTGACAGCATCCATTCTCCTGAATGCAGAAGGCGTAGCTTACAGGGTAAGAAGGGGAGTTGTACTTTGGAATTGTGTATTTTCAAAACATAGCTTGCTCAAAAAGCTTGTCCACTCCTACCCTACCTTTTGGATACTGAGGAGATCCTGCTAACTTTTCTCTGCAGCTGCTGTAGGGGTTTCTTCTACTTTGTCACAGCTGGAAATGCAGGCAACATTTGTCTGCAGCGCACTGGAGGAGGACATGCACCATCATAAAACTGTGTAAAAATATGAAAAGTGAATAAAAAACAGAAAATGTCAGCACCTGCTTTAATTGGCTTTAAAGCTACTTTTCAACAGAAATATGACTCACTGACTTTCTGTACTTTTTAAAAGCAGACTGACTCTCCTGGAGCATATCCAGCCCATGGACACTTGTGTTCCCACATGCTACCACCACTTTAAGAACATTTCAGGATTAGCAGCAAATGTGTGAAAACAGCATTTAGAGGTGCCTGAACGCCAGAAAAGGATGAAACTCACTGTGGTCCGTCAGAGAAAGCCTCCCAAGCTCATCCTCCCAGTGAGGGTCAACGCCGGCATCATATAAAACCAAATCTGGGCGAAAAGTGTCCAGAAGCCATGGTAGGTGGGCTTCCACTGTCGATGGAGTGTAGAAAGATTTTACTTAAATCACTGAGATACAAAATTCTAATCTTTTATGCTCCGGAGTCTTTAAAAACTGGAATAAACAAACAGATTAAGGGACTTGACTGTATTGACACACATAAGTAGTGATTATTATGGTCTGTGTTAACATGCCTGTGGAGAGGTACTCCACACTTACATCTAGGTCACTCTGCTGTTTGCAGAGGGGGAAATTTTTCCCACAATGCACTGAGAACGTAAACACAGATGGCTCCTCTGAATATAAAAGCAGTGCCATCACCCTGTTGGATGGAAAACGGACGTAAAAGTCATCCTGTCAACAAAGATAAATGCTAGCCAAATAATTAAAAAATACAGGACACTCTACCAGATGCACGTCTAAATCCACGATCAGAATCCTCCGTTTGCTGGAAGAGTTGCTCATCAGATATTTGGCTGCAGCTGCTAAGTGACTGAGGAGACAACACCCAGAGCCGTAGCTGGGAAATGCGTGGTGGGTTCCTCCTGCTGTGCTGCAAGCCAGACCCCTCTGCTGAGCTACCTGAGCGGCTAAAACAGTCCCACCTAACAGACAAACAGAGGTTTAGCGTGATGGCTCAAGGTCACGGAGGTGTCATCGCCACTTTATGATACGAAAGCTCTTACCTGTCTCATATCGACAACATCTCACTATACCCTTGCTCCAGGGACATCCCGTCGTCCTCCTCTGCTCCTCATTTATCCTCCCACTGATGAATTTGTTCGGGTAATCCTCAGTGTGAACACAACTAAGCAAGTCTTTCGAGGCCATTTCAGGGACCCACACCTACTGTGAAAAAGCAATGTGTTTAAAAAATCTTTATTAGGACTAAGGATCAGAAAATTATATCATATACAGTGTTGTTCCAAAGAGTTAGCACTGGTTTAAAATATTTAAATGTATTTCTTGCAACTTTTTTTGAATGTTTCCGACAAAACAACTTCTGTAGGCTTTTGGGGAGTCATTCATAGTGTACATTTCTTTAGTTTGTTTTGATTTTTGACGTTATTTTTGCACGATTCTCTTAAATTATCATCTAAAATCATACTTGTAGCCTCCAGTGTGGGCAGCAATGGAAAGAAAAAAATGATTGTAGAGAGAAACATGTTTTCTTATTACGCTTTTGTCAGTCTTTAAGAGTCACCTAAAAACACACCTCCTCCGCTTGGCGTTTCCAGAACATGTTTGATTTTGGCCCTCGTTTATGTTGACTTTATTTCACAGTTTTCATTGGTTCACTCAATCCATCCTCTCAATCCAAATGTGTTTTACACATTTATCGTGTACCAGAATGTTTCATCTATCTTGTAAATTCTATTTTGTAATTTGTATTTTGTAATTTGAATTGCTTTTATTGTTGATTTGTTCAATATATTTACCTACAACTGTACCATGTTCAGCACTTTGGGCTTCCTGACAGGGTTGCGGAAGGCGCTTTATAAATAAAGCTTTGATTGATTGATTGATTGAATAAAGCTTTGAATCTTGAATCTTATAAGGTATAGTCAGAATCCACTTTTTTTTTCTTCAGAGTGATGGAAATTAGCTTTTTCATTATGTTTAGACAATACTGCTCCATTCTGACCTTTTGATGCATATTTATGCTTAATTGTAAATACATCATAAAGTAAAATAAACACATTGTCCACAAATACAAGTGACAAGAAAAGAGCACAATTCTCATATATATATGTATAATGTAGCTGGTAAAAATAATAATTAATGTAATATAATAATAATGCCTCCCTCACCTGCTGTTCTGTGATAACTTGGTCTTGTAGTACAAACTGTAAAACCCAGGGGAACTTTCCCATTGGAAATCTGTGGTTGGGCGGAAGATCACACACACGGACTTCTCGTGGTGGACGATGGGAAGTCCGTTGGAGTCATCCCTTACCTGTTTCGATGTGAACAGGTGAGCTGTGCAGTAACAGCGAGGTGAAATCATGAAGGTAAGTGTTGTTGTGTCCTTACGATTTCCGCATGGAAACATCTGCAAGAAGCGAATCCAACAAGAAGCCCCACATTAACGCGATGCTTCTGTGAAACTATTCGTGCAAAAAACTAAGTTCCCAAGAGTTGAACTACAAAGCTTAAGGGAAGTAAGTTCGTAGTGGGTTTGTGATCATAGCTTTCCCTCTGTGCTGCCACCTCCTGTCCTGGAAGTGGAACTGCAGCCAAAACTAGTTTTTAGGGGTTCTGTCGCCACCTGCTGGCTGCAAGTGAACATCACATGCAAACCGCAGCCTGCAGTCAAAACATTCTTTATTAATTTTTATAGACATTTAATCTAGCGGAGAAAACAATAAATTCCCAAATGCTGCAAAATTACTCTTGTATTCTAGGATTTGCAGGTGGATACACTTTATAATTATATAATCTTTTTGTAAAGACAGTAATGTTTTCACTAAAATTAGCATGACATATTTATTTGTGATTATTCACTTTGATGTTGTTCTTATATGAGTAGTGTTTGACTTTATATATAAAGCTTTTTGTACTCAAGTAAAATATGAATGAAACGGTCTTCGTTTTTTGTTCAGTAACCTGTCCTGCTCTATTTCTGGTGAATTTTAGCATCAACTCTTTTATCTAATAAATATTCCACTCGAAGTTCATTTTAAAATCCACATTTTCCATTTTCACTCTGTATGCATGCTGACTTCGTTTTTGAAAGTCATGGTGAAATGGAGACTTCTATACAAATTAGGTGAATTAATATTTTTAGGTGAGTTAATATTTCATCAGATTTTTTTCATTCTGCACTTTTTGATTTTTGTCCCCTTTTTGATTCATCAAACAATGAAGACTTCTTTAACATTTGAGACTCTCAGCTTTTCACCCATGACAAATTGGTCATCCTTGTGTGATAGTCCATAGAGCATTGACATGTATGAGGGGTAGTTGTGTTTCAAAATCACTTCCTGTCTGGTTTTTGTCTGACCATCTTTTTGCTTTCCTTCCATGAAAGCTCCTAAGCAGCCTTCACAGCGTGGGTGGATAATAATGTTAAGTTAGAATAAAGACGCTTAAGGTTTCTCATCACCGAACTAAAATGGTTTTTGATTTCTGCTTTTTACGTCTCCATCTGTCTGTTTTACATTGCTGGCAGGCAGCTCAAGGCTCTGTCTGGCATACTGTCTCTGCTGATTGTGTGTGTATCTCTGTGTGTGTGAAGAGTCTGGAGAATTATCCTGTCCCTCACAGCTCTTGGTCAGATAAGATGAAGCCCCTAGTGCAGAGGAGAAATCTACGCATAATAGAGAAGGGCTAAAATCAATTACTGACCTTAGCAGAGTTAACAGGCTTTTCAAATCTAGCGAAACGAAGGAGGAGACGTTACTCTCTTCTGAGTAGAGGGTTTCAATTTAATTCACCAAAGACTAGCTTTGTCCAAGTGTTAATCTTAATACACGGAATTTCTGCTTCCTGATCACGTGACGTGTGACACACTTGGATGGAAATCCACTTTAGAGTCGTGCTGTTTACTCTCAAGAGGCACAAGCTCATTCAACTTTAGTCGCCAATGGCAGTGAATGAGTTAGCATTCATGGACTCACAAATCTTGACTTGTGACGGGAAGGCTGTTATATTTTTAGCATCCAGGAAATAGCAGATTATGTATTTTTTAGTGGAAGCTAACAGTTAGCATTAGCAACTCCACCACGTGGCAGAACTCCTGCAGGCTTGTTTTACTTGTGGAGATAAAACATCAACGTTGCAGAGCAAATGGAGTCAGTGGTAGAGTCACATTGCTTTTATCCAATCAGAGGCAAGATGTCCAAATATAAGGAAATAAGACTCCAAATTCTGTTGTCTGGGACCCAATCCCAATACTCACACTTCCATACTTGCACTCTTCGATTGCGCATTCCCGGCCAGGGGTGAGAGTGTGTAGGGTGTCCAGATTCCCATGTGCATAAATTTATCATGTCCTTTTTCCCCACTTGATCCACACTTAACCCAAGTCTGCATCAATGTGCAGTTGAGTGAAGTGTATTACCCACAATCCTTTGCTGTGGAAGAAAAGACTCAAGTGCCTTTTTTGAAAATATGCTTTTTCAAATGAAAGTAGTTCATTTTAGATTAACTGGTGCTCTGAATAATTTAGACTAAACAACAGTGAATAGGAATTGATTTCTAAAAATTGTTTGGGTGTTTGTTTGAAATTGTCACGTTGAGAGCAAGGGGGGTTAGGACCCAAGATGCAGAACACCCAGAACGACACGAGGCAGGAGCGGATGTAAAAATTAAAATTCCTTTTATTAGGATGGGGAACAAAAATAAAATCCAAAAGGGCAGGAAGACAAGCCAAATATCTAAACCCTGACAAAACCAAAAGCTCACTTTCTGAGCAGATAACTAGAGACCTGGTGGGGGAACAAAACAATGCTGACACAGACAATGGACCAACAACATACTGAGACGCAGACAGGGTTATATACACAGGGGCTGGGTGATTAAGGGAGTTGGACACAGGTGAGACTAATAGAGAGGAGGAGCAGAACGGAACAGGGGAGGAAACCAGACCAAACTGGGGAAGGAAGCAAAAAATGAACCTAAGGGAGATACTGATAGTGATCCAAACATGACGGAAACCTAATGATAATTGGTGTGGCTAAGGGAAACGTGAGGGAAACTTAGGCCCTGTCTACACGTAGCTGGGGATCTGCCAAAACGTAGATATTTTTCTACGTTTTGGCCTGTCATCCACACGAAAACAGAGTTTTTTCACACGAAAACGGATCTTTCTAAAAACTCCGGCCAAAGTGAAGATCTGCGTTTTCTCCGTTTTGGGTGTCTGCGTGTGGACAGACAAAACTGGAGTTTTAAGGTCCGCAACGTCACTTTCCATGACAAAACAATGCTGACATCACGTGTGCGACCTGTGTTTACACTAGCCGACAGCATGGATGCCCTCAGAGCTGCGCTCGCTTTATCAATTGTCCAAGCGTTTTCTGCTTGTTTGTTTTTGCAAGCGGAATTACTGCTCCTTGCGGAAGACCACAGACGAAGGACGAGGTTAAGTTGGGGGAAGTACTGCCGCCTACAGGTCTGGCATGTCCTTAACAACGTATTTATCCAGGTACGTGTGGACAGAGTTTTTTTTTAAAACGAGGTGGTGTGGATGCAAGTTTTTGAAGGGGCGGATATTCGTTAAAAAAAACCCCGGCTACTTGTGGACCAGGCCTTAGAGAACACCTGGAGTGGGCTGGGGAACACAAGGAGACACATAAGGGGAGCCTAGAGAGGGGTGGGGAACACAAGGGGACACATGAGGGGGACGCAGAACATGACAGAAATTTGTTAAAGATTTTTAAAAAGGGTAGTTCAGTGACCAGCATCCCGGCATGTGTTGCGGTTGATGATGCAATGTTCCCTGTCGCAATTCAGCAATTATTTACACACTTGTGTACCACGCGCTCGAAGCCTTACTGCACACTTCTTCCAAGTGCCCTTCACAAAAGACTGTAGGGCACAGTGACCGTTATGGGATTGGGCCTGAAGCTCTCTGATTTGGCAATCTTCTAGTTCCTGAAAATGGTGCACTGGAGCTTTTTTCCTCGAGTACAACTTACAAGACATTCGTTCCTACTGTAAATGTCTTGAAATAAATTAGTTTTCCACACCTTTCAAGCTTCCCCATATGGAATATATATGGGCAACCAGCTTTCTGTGATGGCCTTACAGGGGTTTGCCCCAGATAGACTTTGACAGACCCTACATGAGTTTGCAGAGGCACCCAAATGGTTTGACTCATACATGGGCCTGGATGGATGCCCTTAGCCTTTTCCTACTGCCTATGGGCTGGCCCTGGACACAAGGCAGGATAGATCCATGCTTCAGTACAGACACCAAACTCTGACCCGACCATCTGAATCAAGACTCATCAGACCAGGAAAGGTTTTTACAGTTCTAGTCATCCTGTGGGAATTTTAGCCTCAGTTTCCTGCTCATAGCTGATCTAGCATCTGCTGTGGAAGTACTTATAGGTCTAAATTATGAAAGATCACCTACTTTATATCATAGAAGAGGGTCAGATATTCAAATTTTAATAATTTTTAAATTTACTTAGTTTTTTAAAGTATGCACCCCAGCTTTAATGACATTGCTGACTCAGTTCAAACTCCTTGGTTGAACAATCATGGATCATTAGTTTTACACAGATGAGACAGATGTATCTCTGCTGCACTGAGAGTCTACCCGCCCTGTCGCTTCTGAACATCCTGTCATCCTGACATGTATTTTCACGTTCCAGGAAGCAACATGTTTGTTGTCCCACCACACTCAAGGAACTGGGTGGTGTAATGTTTGCATCAGACAACGAATGTGAACATACCTGTCAATTATACAACATCACAATCGCAGCGTCAATCCTGTCCTCACCCTTCCACCTCGCCACTCTGAGCGGAAGGAATTCGCTGGCTGATTGGGCGCCATCACAGAGCGTGTTGCAGCAGGCGAAGGCAGGGTTGTTGTTGGAGTGAATCAGTCCGTAGCTGCTGTCAGGCCTGCTGCCTCATTCCTCCGGAGTGATCCCACAGATGCATTGATTCACCTCTGATCAACACTCTTCTCCTGTAATCACAGTCGAGCAGCAGAGACGGGCTGAAATTGTGCTGCTCTGTAATTTCCACAGACTGTAGGAGATGTTTACATTTCTCCATTCATGGATCCTGTAGCTCTCATTGTTTGGGAATATCCTCACAATTGCTAACTGGGTCTTATTATGTGGCTGCCAAGTGCTGTCAACGCAGAGATGTATGAGACACTTAATTATAAGACAATACCAGTTATTTATGTAGAGATCTGGGCTGAGATATCAAGTATTGACAGTTCAGTACTGTACTGCTCAGTTTTCATTTTTTTAGGCTATTCATGAACCATGGTTGTATGGGGGGGGGGGGGGGGGGGGGCACAGGGTTGCATGCCTCCTCCACTTTTTAAGGCAGTTTGGATCCATTCATGATTTCTACTTATTTTCACTGAAATTATGTAATGCTATGTTATTTTATTTTAATGACATTTAGTAACCCAAGAGGGCAGGAAACTACCAAGCTGTAGTAATCATCCGGCGTCGAGAAGTGTTCTCCATCCTCCTTTTGTAGCCAGACCGGCTGATTGCAAATTAGCTGCAGCTGGAGCCTCCCTATCCTGAAACACACAACTCAAAGATGGGAAAATGAGAGGAGTACTCACCCCGGCACATGACAGATTCTTATATATATATATATATATATATATATATATATATATATATATATATATATATATGTATGTATGTATATAATCCCTTGAATATTCCAGGAGTGGCTAAATTCATGGAAGAAACATGGTTTTACTGTTGTGCAGAAGTCTGTATAAATCTTTGTTTTTTTCTTCATCAAAGGATCAGTCATTACGGAGGATTGTTCCTGCCAAAATGGAAAATAGGTAAATAAATAAAGTCAATAATAAACAATATCACAAAATAATATTAAAAATAAAAATTGTAAAACATATTCATATTTTTGTAAATAAATAAATGTAATTATTTCCACATTATTTGTTTATGTACATTTTCACTCATTCATTGTCTATTTTGGCAGGGACGACCCTTCTTAGATCTTAATTAAAAGTGTTTCTTAGTGACCTTTGCTAAATCTAATTAGTTTTCATTCATTAAAGCTGTTGGTTTTATTGTAACTTAGGTATTTTCAGCCTTTGTTAAATCTGTGAGACATTAATTGCTTACTAGATTCCTTTTTTAAAGTACGACAAGGGAAAAAATATGACTGCTTTCTGTATTTACATGTCAAACTGTGAAATGGTGTCTTATCGGTTGGAGTCCCACTTTTTTCCCTGGTTGTAAAACAAAATGTCAGTCCCTGAATTAGAGATTTATTTCAATCAGACAGGAAAATGGGGATCATGCGGTGTGTTACATCTGCACACACAACAGCTGCGTGATGATTTGAGCAGCTCTTTAGATAAAGGCCAAGTAACAGAAAATAAGTGATAGTTTTGAACATCTGTCAGCAATCTCTGGTATGGCAGGAATCTGACAGCAGCAGAGATACTGAGTCAGACCGGCACTGCTGGAATGTTTTCAATAAACCTCTAGGCTTTGCATCGTGTTTATCTACGGTTCAGTACAGTTCATGTTGCATCAAAGCGCTGCACAAAAAGACAACAAAATGTGTTTTCAGGCTTCAAGAAGCAGATAAATCAGTCTGTGCTGCCTCAACAAACTCATGATTGTTCTGTGTAAAAATAACATGCTACATTGCTGGCAGGCAAACCTGCCACAGGTTTCAGCAACACAGCTGGCTCTGTTCTCCTCGCCTCACTTTAATCTCATTGTGCCATAGGAAGGACCACAGGTACTTCAAAATGTCTGTTTCACACTGACAGCTGCCAGAAGAGGAAATTGTGACAGAATGCAAGGTCTCTGTTTAGTTTTTGGTGACTGTAAAACAGGGCTCTGCAACCCTGGTCCTTGAGGGCCACCGTCCAGCATGTTTAGTTGTTTCCTTGCTTCAACACACCTGATTTGATTATTTAATTACCTTTTCAGCAGAGGCCTGTTTTACATAATCTTTACTAAACCTCTACTTAAGTTTAGTTAAAAAAAAGTATTTATGCAAAATAAATCACACCCATGCTGGGAATGTGCTCTCTGTTGCCTTCGAGTGCACAGCGTTGTTGCAGCGGTGAGCTGTGTGGTGAAGCTGCGGAGCGATTGCGGCAGACATGAAATAGAAAAAAAATAGGTGGGGGACTGACAGCTGGTTCTGAGTATGTGCGCGCGGCGGTCAAGTTTTCAAATTAGCTTAAAGAGCAAGTAACACCCCACCGGAGCCTTACGCCACCCACATTTTGTGTTTGAAAAATGCACCACAAGGAGGAGTTGCCTGACGGACCGAGAGGGCGGAGCTGTAGCAGTGACTGACTTAGTCTGTAGAGGATTTCTTTTTCACCAGAGGACAGATGGAAAAGAGGAGATTGTTTGGGAAGAGACGAGTTGCCCTGAGCTGTACTATTTCAAACCAGTGGCATGTGCCGAGCCGTAAACACTAGCTTGCTTTTTCAACTCCGGAGGAGTAGCCTGAGACTCTGTTGGCTTATACCCCACAGCGACGGTGTATCTGACATCATATGGCATGTGTGAACGTCACAAGTTAACGTTTAGCCAATAGTGATGACTGATTCAAATTCCAATGTAGTGCAGACTTTTAACCTAGAGAGGGCGCTACACCGATGAAAAATAAAAATAAGATACACTAAAATGCCAACATAATGACTAAACGTGTCTACAACACTATTAGTCACTCATTTCTACAGCTGATCAGAAAAAAAGGTTGATAGAGTGAGTTGCTTTTTAAAATCAACATTTTATCATGTTACTGGCTGCTCTGCCAGTTTCCTTGTCTTCAAAATGTGCGTACGCCAGAGTTTAAGGTTTCACACATTTTCCCAGCAGGATCTTCTTTATTGAAAATGACTTACACATATTTGAGACTCCATTTTGAGAAGAAACAAGTTTTATAAATGAGGCCCTGGTCATTAAGTTATGCAGAAAACTATTGATCACCCACTAATTCACATTGGGTGTGTTGGGACAAAGAAACCTAAAATTTTAAACGAGACTCGTTTACAAGCTCCATTCAACCAAATGTATGTTTGGATTAAGATTCAATGGAACAGGTGTGTTGAAGCAGAAAAAAACTATATTTTAAATGTTTCCCTGCTTCATCACACCTCATTTCAAGAAGTGATGATTAACAGGCTTCTGCAGAACTTGATGAGATGCTGAACAGGAAAATGGTTCTTGAGGACCAGATATGCAAATCCCTGCACATCCGCACAGTTCATAAGCAATTCAGTGATACAATAACCACTTTAAACAAATCTGAGCAAATATTAGAATAGAATAAAATTGAAACTCCCTAAAATATTGGTGTCATAGCAGCTATCAGCTGTAATAATGCACTGGTTTGTGTTTATAACCAATTTTTGAAAATTTTTAATTAGAATTTCAATCAGCTAAATTCAATTTAGTTTATTTTTTACAACCCTTAGACCAAATTCTCAGTGAACAACTATTTTATGCAAAGGAACACTGTGTCAGAATGAGTCTAGATCTTTTCTCCCTAAAAAACACAACTGGGTAAAAGAGAATAAATTTGGGTAAAATTGCAGACGTAGTCTTGAGTTTTGTGTCGTCTTGAGTCAAACCGTCATGTCTGAAGCAACAATAAACCCCCCAAACTCCAATTAGAAACAAATGTGGTAAGCTGCTGTAATAAAGGTGCTTTTATTGAGTCTTACTAAGGATTAATGTTTAACTGACTGAGGTGTTGTGTAACCTTTGGTGTTGCAATCCTTTAGTCATGAACTCTTGTCAAACTCACATATTTTCAGATGAGATGGAGTGTACTCAGACTGAGAAAACATCGTTTTTTATCACTCTTTAAATCAGCCAAAACCAGACAGTAATATCCTCTTCCTCACACGTCTGAGCCCAACCACCTACAGCTCCCAGGTCTCAGTTTTCAATCACTAGGAGTTTTCCTCATGTTCTCCTGCTGATGTTCTGCTTTTTCAGTTATCCCTGCATTGATATTCTGTAGGAGCTTGTGGCAAATTCCACCTAATTCAGCTCAGCTCAGCTGGTGACTCATGCTGAAATTTATTAAGTATCTATTAGGTTTCCATATGGATATCGAAGTTTTAAAAAAGTCCTAGAATTAATCAAAAAGGAATTCTGAAGGACACCCATGTAATAAATCCACACATTCTTATTTCCATCACTAGTCATTTCAACATTTGTGGATTAATTTAGACATTTTTAGAAACACTGGATGTGATTTTCAGTTTAGTTTGCTTTAGATCAAACATGCATTTTAATATGTTTTAGAGGGCACCTGAATTATTGCACTATTGTCTTTGTTTCTAGTAAAATATTTATTAGATTTTGGAATAAAATGAGATCAGTTTCAGGGTTTTGTAAGGAATCTTAGGTGGTATTTTCAGATGAGTTTTATTTTCTAATTTATTATTCATTTAGCAATAAATAAATAAATGAATATCAGCCTAATCCGCTTGTATTATGCTGTAAATGCAATGCATGTTAGAAGAAGGAATGGGTGTTTAAAGGGAGACTAGGCAGTTTTGGCTTGCTTTTAGCACCCCCTAGTGTTTAGTAGAACCAAAAGCAAAACTCCTCACTGAATTATCGCCTTTTTAACACCTTAATCAGAAAGCTGAAATGCCTCCCTGGCCTTCATTAGTTTCTGCAGGAGTGATTCATAACTAAACCAAACAAATCAACTGTGTTCATGACTTAAAACAGGCAGGAAATGTGCTGGAAGCAGACTGCAGCGCCTGGTATGTCAGCTCCTTTTTTTTCTAAGTCCAACAGACCGGACCGGCACTCTGAAGTTGCAAATGTGATGTTG